CCCCAAAACCCCAAAACCCCAAAACCCCAAAACCCCAGCTCATAGAAAATGAATTATTATAAAAGCTTTAGATACTATAATAATTTGAAAAAAATATTGCACTAATAATGAAAGCTTTATAATGTCCTACACTTAGCTTTGATCATTCAATAATGAAAAGATTCTTTTGGCTCTCTTTTACTCTCTTAGCAATGGAAATTAATTGTATTATTGGCTCATCAATATTTCATCCAGTAAGCGTCATGAAGATGGCATTCTTAGGCTTGAAATAAAATAATCAAGAAATTTAGGAATTAAAAGAAACCCCTTGCTCAGTTTCCTTTAACAAAATGCTTTAAAATTCTACTCAGAAGGAATTGCTATAAATATGGATCTGCTCTGGTAAGAGCTTCGATGATTTAGGCAACTATGAGCAATGTGAATATGAGCCTACACTTAAATATGCTCTAATGACTTTAAGAAGTGAAACTGGCACTCGAATAATCACATAAATGGGTCTATGTGTGCCGGCTGAATGCACAGCAGAGGATCTCTAATCTCTAGACAAAATAATTAAGAAAACATATGTTGCTTCAGGCTGGATTGAAAATCCTACTTCCCCTCATTACTCTTTCACATCCTAAGAATATCGAGACTTATATCAAGATTTGGCCAGGCCAGGCTTTATCATAACAGTTTTACTTATTCTACTACTTATAGGTCTATCAATATTTGGATCTTTTGTAGAAAGAACTTAAATTGGAGACAAGAAACAAAATCAGAACTCGATGGTAGAAGCAATTGAAAGTGAGGATTTTAATTAGGTTTCACTAGAATACAAGAAAGAAAAGTGGGCAATTTTTATTTACTCATTCTCAGTGACTCGAAATTTCAAGGAAATATTTTTTAGACCTAGCAAATCTATCAAAGACAAAAAATTTCAAGTATTCAACGGGATCAGAGTATTTATGATGACTTGGATTATCTTGGGACATTGTTACTTTGTTGGATCAGTTTTTGGAATAACTAATTATAAACTAAAGCAAGCTATTCTTGACAAATTTCTTGGTTAAATAATCGTGAGTTCTGACATGGCAGTATCATTTTTCTACTTTTAGTCCTCATTTATTTGCATGTTCTCATTGATCAAGAGATTCTAAAGAGATTGCCAGTAAAATTTCGATACGAATAGAGAAACTGCAATTTAGCTTTCAGATGAGCAGCAGCAGAATATTCCTAAATTGAATATTAAAACCTTGATCAAATTAATTTTTGCCAGATGGCTAAGACTTTCATTTCCGACATATTTACTAGTTTTATTCACTGCTTTCCTATTCAAATAACTGGGTACAGGGCCAGCTTTCCCTTATATATAAAAGCACAATATGCAAGATGGACTTGACAATTATTGGTGGACATTTTTAGTATTTATACAAAATTTATATCCCTGGACAGATTCAACAGGCATGTATTGGTATTTTTTCCTTGCAAATGATCTTCAATTTTATATTTTTGTTCTAATTCCATCAGTTTATATGTATCAGAAGAAAAATATGAGAAAAGTAGTTATGGTTTATCTGGTTTTACTAGTGCTGCTTACTTGCTTTTTCAGGTTAAGTATCACTATTGATCAGGGTTATTCTTCAATAATTATTATTGAGCATAACGTAATGTTTAATGATTTACTGAAAAGACCTTGGAGTAATGTAGGATTTTACGCTTGTGGTATAATTACTTGCATCTTTTACTATGAATACTCACTCGCTATATCCAACAGAAGCCTGAGAAAAAGAAGTTCTTATATCTTTATGGATTATATTGGAAAAACCAGATCTAGATCCTTGAAAACTTAGTTTACAGGTGGATTTCTTATGTTTTTTGTAGTGTTTATCAGATATTCATCTTTTGGAATGAATGAACCAAGTGCTGAAAATACTGACTACGGCAGATGGCCAATAATTCTAAATGCTTTTTTCAATGCTTTTGCTCATTATCTATTTATTTTCTCAGTTATTTTGATTATTCTGCCAATATTTATTGGAAAATTATCGGTAATAAGAGATATATTTGGAGCTGATTTCTTCAGACCACTATCGAGAATAAGTTTTTCTGTATACTAAATCTCTGGACTTTCTTTATTTTTACTATTTTTTAGTTAAGATTAGCACGTATACTATGATAACTAAAGCATGATTTTTATATTTTTCGCACTTGTTTTAAATATATATCTTATTTCCTTCTTCGTGGCTATTTTTTTTGAGTACCCTTTTAGAACTCTGTCTAGTTTGCTACTATAACCATCAATTAAGATTATAAGACTAAAAAGTGATTTAGCAAAAGAGCTAGATATTGATGGATAATACACCGAAACTGAGGAAAGCTAAATGGGGTAGAGTTAGAGTAGACATAGTAGTGGAGAATAATTCAAAGATAGAGATAATTTCAGTGTGAATTCAGATTCAAATAAAGATAGTTTAAATTCGAAGCTAAATTAAGACGAGTTATTCCAAAAAGCAAAACTGAAATTAAGAGTAAATGACTACAAAAATAAGAGACTAACAAAAATTAACGAGATTGATGAATTAAGTAATTATGATTATTCACCAACTCCTTAGCACAACAGTGTTATTAGGAAAGATGATTGATAATAAATTTTATTTCATTACTATAATATTTCAATTGGTAAATATAAATTGGAAAAATGGGGTTTTGGGGTTTTGGGGTTTTGGGG